AGCCTTCTCTTATTTATTGAAAAAAACTGTTAATTTCATTTTTCTGCTTTCACATTATGTTTAAGAATTATCGGTATCGTTATTCTTTTGTTTACTGTATTCTTTTTAATTTAATGTACAAATTACAAAAATAAAAGTATTAAAAATAAATCAATTACAAGAAGAAAATATATATTTTAAGATTATATTGCATACGAAACATAAAAATCAATGATCTTTTAAATTATTATTTATATGTAAACTTTTCTTTATATAGATGAGGCCACAACTTACATGTTCATATTATAGGTATTTAGGCTCAACCTATACACCAAAAAAACTCAGACCATAGCCCAAGTAATAGAAAAGGACACATCGAAGTCAATCTATTTAGCAGCCCAACTCATGAAACATAAACCTTCTTCGATTATATGCCGTTATTTCCAGCAAATAAGATTTTAAATATACCCCAAAATATGCCAAATTAATGGGAAAATAACTCCACCCGAAATGTTTACTATTAATTGTTATTAGGTGTTGTTGTTACTTTGAATGTGCCCGCTGTATACAATGATGCAACGAGACCATATTAATAATGTCTTTTCAATTAGGCTGCTCTGCACCCAAAAGCTTTTGCACAAAGAACAAAAAAAAATAAAAACCGAGACACCGACTTTTGGATGAAGATTGCAGAAATGTTTAATGAATTTAAAAAAACAAAAATTATTTTAAATTTTAAATTTGTTTAATGTATTTAAAAATATTTAGTGCACCCAAAAGATATATTTGTATTTTATAATTGAGTTTGCTTTAAGGTTTTCCAACAAAACGTAAATGGGAAAATTTTCGGCAATTTGTCACTACTTTTTGTTTGTTTTGTCTTTCCCCTGTAAAATCGACTTCCCATCATTTTGTTATACCTTGTGTGTAGGAAAATTTTCCGGTTTTTGGCTAATGTACAATGTGCTGAAATACATTCTTTTCTTCTGTTTTCGATTTTATTTTTATATTTTTATATTAAGGAATTTCGAGATTATTTTCATCGAATGTTCGCCAAAATTTTTTTTTCCGTTCATTTTCTGTTGTCCACCGAAGGAAACCGATAATGTAGAAACACAACGAACTCTATGTTTTTGTGGTTGTTTTACAGCAAGTTGAACAGTAAGCTAAAGCTTTTTCTCCTTCCTACAATTACTTAAAATATCTCTTTTTTCACAATTGTTCCAATAACTTTACGTCTATAAAAACTTTTAAATTCAATTAAAGCCTTCCAGGAACCCTACGATTTTTAAATACATTTGTGTGAAATTTTAAACACAATCAATCACGTCCGCAAAATATCGCTTCTTTCATCTCGTCTGCACCATGAATTGAAGCCTATACATTCATCCAAATTTTTTTTATTGTTTTTATTTACACCTTTTCTGAATTTTCTACAGTCTGTTTTAAACCTAACTTTTTTTTTGAGACGTGTAAGTGTTCTGAAATGCGATATGGTGAGATAGTCGCATCACCCAGAGTGCACTTAATTTTTTTCTTCGTGGAAATTTGTGTAGACATGTGTATGGACGACCGTGTCCCTTTTTTTATATATTTTTGTTTTTTTTGTTATCGGAATCGTAAATAAAGTACGTCCTTGAACGAATCCTTTTTGGTTTGGTGATTAAGATGTGTAATGAAGAGAAGTGTGTAGACATGTGCATGCACGATCGTGCTGCTTTTTTCATGTACTTTTGTGAAGGGAATCATAAATAACTCATGTGGAGGAATGGTTTTTCGTTTGTGTAGGAGGATGTGTGTAATGGAGGTAAGATTTATGGGAGATAAGTGTTTGTTAGCGTGATATGAAGGAGTGTAATTGGAGAGGGAGGGACATTATGAAATGTGATCGTTGGCGTTGGAATCCGTGTTGTGAGGGTAAGTGG